AAGAGAGAGAAACGAAACGAGAGAGAGAAACGGGAAAAACGGAACCAAAGAGAGAGAAACGGGAAAAACGGAACCAAAGAGAGAAAATAAAAGAAAAAAAACAAAAACATCACCCACTTTTAGTATAAAAGTGTACTACTTCTGTTCAATAATAAATGTTACCTTTAGTGTATGTTAATGTGCATTCAAATCTAACAAACTATGAGAGAATGATACTAAGGGAATAATGACTACCGAACAATAAATGGGACATTTACTGTATGAAAGGTGTATGACAATGTGACAATTATTATGTGACAGAGCTAATAAAAATATCCCTGTCCCACAAAACTTGTAAACATTTAATAGATGAAATGTATATCTAATATATAGTAGGCAAAGAGTTGGTCGAGCGGTTCACAAGAAAATGGAATCAGGGATCAGGGTTCAAATCCCAGCTTTGTTCGTCTGAATTCACGTCAACTTCAGAAATACAAGAATTGACCTTTCACCTTGGCTCAGATCAAGTTTTACTCTTTCCAGCTGGTATCATGTAAGCCAACACAGGCTGTCACATGTTCGTTTGAGAGGAGATGGACGTGGTCAAATAAATCTAACTCTGGCGAAAAATAACAACATTTAACCAAGAAGTCGGAAATCCTGCGTGGTTCTTTCTTTTATAGAAAGAGAAAGTCCATTTCTTTGTAACTTGCAACATTTTTTTCTTATCTATATGTGATGGAAGACAAAGTTGACAAAGTTAACAAAATAATAATAATAATAATAATAAAAAAGGGGGCGACGAAAAATGAAAAAAAAGGTCAACTGAAAAAAGGGTGGCGACGAAAAATGAAAAAAAGGACAACTGAAAAGGGGGCGACGAAAAATGAAAGGAAGGGGGCGACGAAAAATGAAAGGAAGGGGGCGACGAAAATGAAAGGAAGGGGGCGACGAAAAATGAAAGGAAGGGGGCGACGAAAAATGAAAGGAAGGGGGCGACGAAAAATGAAAGGAAGGGGCGACGAAAAATGAAAGGAAGGGGGGAAAAATGAAAGGAAGGGGCGACGAAAATGAAAGGAAGGGGCCGACGAAAAATGAAAAAGGACAACTGAAAAGGGGGCGACGAAAAATGAAAAAAGGACAACTGAAAAGGGGCGACGAAAAATGAAAAAAGGACAACTGAAAAGGGGGCGACGAAAAATGAAAAAAGGACAACTGAAAAGGGGGGCGACGAAAAATGAAAAAAAAGGACAACTGAAAAGGGGGCGACGAAAAATGAAAAGGGAACAGTTACTCCCCCCCTAAGATATAAAAAAAGAGGACTGCTGAAAGGGAAAGGGGGGGGGGGCGACCAAATTAAAAAAAAAAAAAAAAGTACGGCTGAAAGAATGGAGGAGAGGGTAACCAAAATAAAAAAAAAATAACAACTGAAAGGCTGTGGGGCAACAAAAAATAAAAAAGGACAGCTGAAAAGCGGGGAGGGGCACCAAAAAGAAAGGACTGCTGAAGTAAAAGAACAAAACCTTTTCTATTAAAGATAATATTTCCGATATTAAAGCATTTATATGAAAGGCAATACACTCGTGAACATACGTAAGGCTTCATTTTTAGCAAGCTGTTCTCACATTCATTACTACTCGGTGGTATTCACGATCCTGACTGGGTGCCCCATAAATATCGCCTTGTGTCATAACTGAGCTACACTGTGTAAAGATATTGCATTGCACGTAAGTAGACTTCACTCAAATCTCCTGTGGTATTATTATATTCAACTATCCCCCTGACCTCGACATCAGATCATTTGGACATTTTGGGTGAATATTTCGAACTACTATTCTCATCTTAGATGTTGTTATAAGCACAACGTTTCGGTCAAGTACCCTCTTGCCATCATCAGGTCTCCATTTTTTGACTGAATGAATAATAGCGTCTATAACAACCAAGAGAACAATAGTTTGTTTGAATTTCTCGGACGAGGATTTTTCATTTACACTATTTTATATTTGGACGATTGTCCCCATCTTTATTGTTGTTATCACAACGTTTCGGCACAGATCGATATACACAATGACCGAAAAGACAAAGATGAGGACAATAGTCCGAATATAAACGGTGTAAATAAGATGAACAATAGTTCGAAATAAAGTATTTTGACAATTAGTCAAATCAAAAAATTGAATACGAAAACTTAAAGAACAAACAACCAGTACAAACTATTTACATTGTTCGGACTATCATCCTCATCTTTGTTGCCATATTTATCACAACGTTTTGGCCGTTGTACGCTCCAGCCTTCTTCAGGTAGTTGGAATGTCGAACTGAATCCTTTATTTTTAACATGTCTTCAAGAGTGTGAGTTCAATACCCGGTTAAGGCAGTGGAAAACTTGGAGAGGGGAATTAACAGGAGATAACTGACAACTGACATCAATAAAAACATGGTACGTGGAACTAGAACAGTCTACTCCAGTGAGCGAAATAAAGGGTTCAGTTCGACATTCCAACCACCTGAAGAAGGCCGGGGCGTATAACGGTCGAAACGTTGTGAGAAATATGGCAACAAAGATGAGGATGATAGGCCGAACAATGTAAATAGTGTACATGATACCTCATCTCAGAAATATAGACAGACAGCTAGTACAAAGTTGCTCATATGAACAGTCTTATGTGTTAGGTCATGTAATTCTTGTGTTCCATTTGCCCCGTGAGTGTCAAATTTTCCAGGCCTTTTTCTTATGTGTTCAAGAAATTTCAACTGTCTTTTTCTGATTTTAAATGTACTATTTTTTTGTATTCTGTTTCAAACTTCCGCGTGAATTTAAGGGTACTACGAGACTGGATTTCATCATTTTATTTTTTAAATAGATATCGTCATCTACATTTCTTACTCCGTTTATCAGGCAGTTTTCCGATACCTTTGAGCGAATTCCCGTAGATTTTCTGATAAATACAAGTAAAGTTATGTCGAAAAGCTTATACTTGGTACCTAGCATCTAGGCGATCATGTATCTATCTTGACTGACGAGGCAGATTTTTTTTCCCGCACTAGGCTGCCATTTCTTTCTGCGGTAGACCAGTTGACATCCAAGGCTATAGAACCCGGTCTGTCCTATTTACCCATAGAGAAGAGGAGGATTCATACCTTTCCCAAGGGTATTAGCACGTAAGTGAATGTAATGGATTCGAGTGGAATTCGAACTCAGCTCTCCGATTCCTCAATCCATTACTCTTAATTTCAGCAGTTCAGACCTTTCATACAAGTCAGTTATGTGCCATGCGTTATACACGCTTAGGCGATCATGTATCTTTCGATACATGACTGACGCAGTAGGTTGCCATTTCTTTCTGTGTTAGACCAGTTGCCATCCAAGGCTATAGAACCCAGTCTCTCCTGCTATTTACAAATAAGAGGATTCACACCTTTCCCAAGGGTATTAACACGTAAGTGAATGTAATGGATTCGACTGGAATTCGAACTCGGCTCTCCGATAGCTCAACCCGAGCAAGGATCAATTTAACATGAAAAGAACTGTACGTTTTAAATATGTTCCTGGAAAGAATTTCCTAACATTTTGCAGATTTAAGTAGTTTTATTATTTAGGAACTTACTTTAATAAAAGTGAAAAAAAAAATGTCGCGTTCATGTTTTTAAATTATGGCAAAAATCGTGTTAATTTGATTGAACTTTATTTGATTTAGTTTAATTTGTTTTATGGCATATCAACCTCAAAGGATTATTTAATGCCAACAAAAGATTTTTTTGGTTTGTTTTATTTTACTCAATGGGTTATTTAATGCCATCAAGATTTTTTTTTAAATTTCTGGTATTAAAAACTATTTTTTACACCTTCACAGCGTTTAGGTCCCAGTTTGAGGGTTAACTATTTGCCTATAGCTGGGACCCTAACAGGTGCTTCCACATCGGGTCAGGGTGGACCTAGGAACACCAGAAATTAAGAGGTGGTTCCACGCTCCTCAAAACCTCCTGACCAGAGGCCTTGTTCTTGGATGTAGTGTATCGTCTTATCAAGGACGCGGATGTAGTTTATCGTCTTACCCAGGACGGCTGAACTTTGTGCTGTAAGGCCCCAAAATTCACTTGGCATAGTTCATTTTCGAAAAAGAATGTCAAGTTAGACAAGATGCCAATGACTAGCAAAAAGTGGCAGAAAATTCAACTATTAAAAATAAATGATTGAACGTGTGTTTTAATTAACTTTAAATGATCATAACTTAAAAATAGTTGAAGTTAGTACAAAGTTAAACCAATCCTGAAATTCCGAGACTTTCTACTTTCAGGCTATATTTATATGTATCACGTGGTAAATGTTTAAAAAAAAAAATGTCCACTGGAAAACAGGAGATCACAACGACCTAAGAAGTCGTAACCGTATCCTTAAAATAAAAATGAGGACATTATTGTCGCATTATTTATGATAGGACTAGAGTTAATTGTTGAGATAAGAATCTTAAATTATTTATACAGAAAATATACCATATGCAAATACAAATTTACTTAAATAACGTCTTTTATTGACGATAAACATGTCTATAATATTTACTTGGTTAGGATACGTGTTGGCCTTCAGATAGCTAAATCGTAACCAATCATAATCCTTATCTGTAATTATGCAGACGCGAGCTCACTCAGTAATCTAAATTTACTCTAATCAGTTGTTTTTGTGGGCAAAACGAATGAGGACAAAGTTCAATTTTTATTTTACATTGCTCGGCCATTAACAGAATTAAATTTGTCGAGGACGATGGCGAAGGCTGCTTTCTTTCAGCAGTCGAAAATGGGTTGGCCAAGAGGAAATAGCGTATAATGGGGGCTACGGGCAGAACCTAAAATGCAGGCAAATTGTATCGTCCAATCTTGTATTGTAACTTGAGATTTTGTCGCAAGAGCATTTGAGTGAAAACAGAACAGTGGTTGGACAAGATTGTAATTCGTCGCTATAGTGAGAATCATTTAAGCCTCGTAAAATGAACTCCTTTCTTCGTCACGCATTCAGACTGTTGTCGACCGGAACAATTACATAAGGGAACGCTTTCCCTTCAACTATTATTTCATATGTATTGTCTCATTACGAATATAATATAAACACACACACACATATATATATATATATATATATATATATATATAAGGAGGGACGGTGGAGTAATGGATAGCGGCTTGGATTGAATGATTACACTCACTTACGTGCTAATACCCTTGGGAAAGGTGTAAATCCTCTTCTTCCCCATCCATCTATGGGTAAAATAGCTGGGTTTTATAGCCTTGGATGGCAACTGGTCTAGGAGAAGGACAACTCTGAATTCAAAACCTGCGGAGGGTCGTTTGGGGACCTTGTGGCACGTAGTGCACCAGGTCTCTGTATTCGGCCCTTCAAAAAGTGTGGATGATCCTGCCCAAAACCTTCACCACTATAATCAAATCTCATGTGCTGTTTTCGGGCTGTCGGTTTCCTGGGAACTGATCTGCTTGACCCTCATACATCGAATTCGATGGGAGAGTCGAGTATATATATATATTATAAAAAGAGACAATTTTCTGTCTGTCATGCGCGTATGCAAATTCACAGAGACAGTATGTAATACGCGTTTGCCAGTGATTGACTTACATGTGCATTAGACGCAGGCATACTAATCTCACACATATATATCAAGAAAACCCCTTAAAAATCCATGTTGGTTATAATATTTTTCATGAAAATTAATAACTTTTCTTCAAACCGAAAGATTTTAAGAAATGGTATATCTGTCTGGATTGATTCCAAGATAAGAGGGAGAGAGAGAGAGAGAAAAAAAATCCCTACTAATTACAAAGTGATATTATATATATTACATACACGGTTGTAATTTGAAATAGTATATTGGACTAATACATCACCATCAGGGCCGGTTCTGTGTCCTCTTTCCGAATCTATGATATAGGCCCTCACCCTACATCTTAATTTTCATAATATAGTATCCATATAAAATTCAAATTTTATTGTAACTTAATTATGTACAATAATGGATCATATGCAATATAGGTGAACAATTCAACTAGAAAAATTGAAAATAAATACCATCTAAATACAAATATGTCATAATAGATCATCCATTTTAAATAAATCGACAACGTTTTGCGGTAATTGTTAACATCAATTTGAGATTTTTTTTGTTAAAAAAGTTAAAATTCACACATTCAACAATATGCATAAAAAAATATTGAACTTTATATAGCGTTGTCTTTATTTTTTTTCATGACTTAACATGAGAAAAACAAATTCACGGATTTCGACCAAATAAAAAAAAAAAAAAAGAAAAAAAAAGATCCCCTAGAGAATGACGTCAAAATCCGCAAAATATTTCGTCCTTTTAATAATCAACTGTGCTTAGTTTAATTTCTAATGTATATAAGATGTAGGTAGAAACGAAAGCAAATATTGACAAATATATGGCCTATCGATTGCATGAAACAGCCTGTCGCCTCTAAGTGTTGACTTCAATGTTCATACACACACACACACATATATATATATATATATATATATATATATATATATATTAGTGATTTTTCTAAACCCAGTTTAGAATTAGCAAATTTTGCCTATTTTTGTTGGAACGTGTCTCTCGGCTACGCTTCCGTTGCCCGTTCCTGTTGGAACGTGTCTCTCGGCTACGCTTCCGTTGCCCGTTCCTGTTGGAACGTGTCTCTCGGCTACGCCGTTGCCCGTTCCTGTTGCCCCCGTTCCTGTTGGAACGTGTCTCTCGGCTACGCTTCCGTTGCCCGTTCCTGTTGGAACGTGTTGGAACGTGTCTCTCGGCTACGCTTCCGTTGCCCGTTCCTGTTGGAACGTGTCTCTCGGCTACGCTTCCGTTGCCCGTTCCTGTTGAAGTTTTCAGCTCATTTATAGAAATATATTCATGTTATTTTTACTTAAGAGGAAGATTAAAACAAAACTTCCAAGTTTCTAATGAAAAAAAATAGCGGTTTAAATCAAGAAACCCTAGTCTGTAGGGAAGAGACGAAATTTTCGAAAAGTGCTTATATTTGGTACTTAGATTTCTTTCCTGGCCGGGGGTGTGGTCAGTGATTAAAAAAAAAAAAAAAAAAAAGTATTCAGCACCCCTAGCCCCCACCAAAAAAATTAAAAATAGAGGTCTAGATCATGACTTTCTGATGAAAGTTATGTCGAAAACTGATATTCGGTGACAAAAGCGGGCAATAATCAATTTAATGTATGAAAGGAACAGGGTATGTTTTAAATATATTTCCGGGAACAATTATCTTCAATTTTCGAGATTGAAATTGTTTTAATATTTGAGAGTTGATGCACTTACATACACAGCAACAAATAAATTGTCTTTAACGTTTTTGTTAGCTTTATTCAAAGTTTTGAGACGTGTCAAAAAACAAACAGTAAAATAGTGTTAATTTGACTGAATATTGTGTTGCACAACCCACAAATCCTCTCGATATTAATCATTTAAAAAAAAAAAGTGCCAAGTTCAACCTTTAATACGATAGTATCCATTGCAAAAAAGATTCCAATAACTTTCTTAGCAAAAAGAGACAGAAAAAGCCGCTTCGCAGAAATGACAGTCCAGAGCAGTTTACAATAATGTTTGTACATATATATATATATTTACACACATAACTAAATGTTACCACTACTACCAATGCTAAAGTGATTAACTTTCTCGATGTGACTAATCTTGAATCATGGTTATTACAAACCATATACCAAAGATATATATAACCATAGATACGTCAATAAAGATTAAAACCACTACCACAAAATTCTTGATAATTTACATAAATTAGTCCAAATTAGATTATCTATCAAGTCCCGCTATAAGGAAATATTTGATAATAATAAAATTAAATATATAAAGGTTTTAAAACTAAGCAATCATTTCGATTATTTAGAAAAAAAAAAAATAAAGCTAAAAATAAACCAACACTGTAAGCCTAACATTATATGGTTTAATCCACCTATTAACCATAATGTTCAAACTAATATCGGAAGAATTTTCCTAAATTTAATTCATAAGCACTTTAAACATTCACCAAAAATAAACAGATTTTTAACAAAAATAAATATCAGCTATAACTACGTACGTTAATAGCATAGACTCATCCCACTTAACATTATATTAAACAAATGTATTTCCAACAAAAATAATGTAAATTTTTCTAAAACTAAATGCAACATCCGAAAAAATAATTTATCCCTTAAGTAGTCAATATATAACTGATAATATCGTATACCGAGCTAGCATACATTCCGGTAAAGATGTTAAATTTTATTTTAGTTTCACTGAAAATCCTTCGAAATATCGTTGTTACCATCATCAAATGACTAAGTAATACTAAATACAAAACAGCATTGCCTTCTGTAAACATTTCTGGCAATTAAAGTATGATGACAATTCACCATTTATCAAATGGGATATTATAACAAGAGCCAAATCTTATAACGGGAAAGGAAATAGATTTAACTTGTTGAAAAATTGGTTATCTTAAAACAGTTAAATAAATCGAGCTTATTAAACAAGAGAAATAAATTGATGGTTACAAGTATGTATAAAAATAAATATCTGCTGAAATACGTTGATCCAGATTAATTTTTAATATAAATTAATTTAAAAAAAAAAAAAGAACAAGTATAGTTTTAAAGTATATGTATGCGTTAAAGCGCTCAGGGATAAAGCGTATGTGAATATGTAAGTGGACATTGAAGGCAACACCCAGCGGCGTCAGCTCAAACGTTGCGGTTGCGTTTCAGCATGAAACTGACTGTCGGCTTCAATGTCCACTTATTTATATATCTTCACACATGGTGTTCGTGTGTGTGCATACACATATTTGAGTTGTAACTAAAAGATAAATGTGCCTCCTGACAAGAAACGAACCTGTATCTCTTTACCCTTCAGGTAAACCCTCCTAAATGAAGTGGGCCGTTACCAATTTGCCTACGGGAGATCATCTTGATAAAACCCAAGTTCAATTTACAGAGTTATAATTTTTAAGTAGATTTAAAATTTTCACCGCACCTTTCTTTCGTGTGCATATGTAGTGGCATCAACATAAACATCCCTTTAGTCCGATGAAAACTGAGAGGATGAAACGCGGCACACGAAGAAAATCATATATGAAAACTGAGTTGTGCTACAGGTAAGGAAAAAAAACCTGTATATTTATAATTTATATAAATTATAGCTCTGTTATTATACATCGAGCACTATTTTATCAGCACTAGCACTTAATGTACGATATTTTAAAGACATTTGTTGATACCTCCTTACGAGTGGACCGAACAAAGGTTTGCAAACAAGTAGAGGTGCTGAATATAACAGTCAGTCAGATAAATGATAAATTTTATATTATTTGTATATTTATGTATGTTATGTGTTTTATAATTATATATAACATACAGATCTTCTTTTCTGAATTTAAAAAACTTAGGACGAATTCTTGCTGTTAAAATGACAGCCTTTGCGCGGACACATTGTCTCAAAAACAAAAACAAAAAACAAAAAGAAAACAAAAAAAAAAAAAAAAAAAAAAACAAAAGAAAAAAACAAAAACAAAAGAAAAAAACAAAAACAAAAGAAAAAAACAAAAACAAAAGAAAAAAACAAAAACAAAAGAAAAAACAAAAAAAGAAAAAAAAAAAACAAAAAAAAAAAAAAACAAAAAAAAAAAAAAAAAAAACAAAAAAAACAAAACAAAAAAAAAAAAAAAGAAAAACAAAAAAAAAACAAAAGAAAAACAAAAAAAAAACAAAAGAAAAACAAAAAAAAAACAAAAGAAAAACAAAAAAAAAACAAAAGAAAAACAAAAAAAAAAGAAAAAAAAAAAAAAAAAAAAAACAAAAACAAAAGAAAAACAAAAACAAAAGAAAAACAAAAACAAAAGAAAAACAAAAACAAAAGAAAAACAAAAACAAAAGAAAAACAAAAACAAAAGAAAAAAAAAAAACAAAAAGAAAAACAAAAGAAAAAGAAAAACAAAAGAAAAACAAAAGAAAAACAAAAGAAAAACAAAAGAAAAACAAAAACAAAAGAAAAGAAAACCAAAGAAAAGAAAACGATGAAAACAAAAGAAAGGAAAACGAAGAAAAGAATATAAAACAAAGAAAAAGATAAAACGAAGACGACGAAAAAAAGATGGAAAAAACAAGCAGAAACGAAAAAATTACTAATAATTATATGTAACGACACAGAATATCGATGTTCTCTGATCGAAAGAGAAATTACGATGCTCATCAATACTTTGTTATCCCTTGAAAAAAGAAAAAAAGGTTGTAGCCAACGGAATCTTCTCTATCAAATAGTTCTTGATAATGGCTAAGGTAATCCAAAGTACTTTTGCAAATACAAAACATGAAATTCGGACAAATTGCCTACAGTTTTAATCCTGGTATACTACATCTTGACATTATGCACCTTGTTCGGAATGTTCTGATATAACCTTCACATTCCTGAGCCACCCGGGAATATGGAGGTTATATGTCAGCACATTTCAGGAAATAAACATGGGCAAAAACGTCGACGCAAACGTCATTCAACCAATCTTCAGAATCGCCAACATACAGATTGATTATTTTGGGTTCGGTTCGAAATTAAAAAAAAAATCACCTGAAGAAAGCCCGAGCGTACAACGGTCGAAACGTTGTGGATGTAACATTAAAGAGGAGGACAACAGTTTGAACAATGTAAATAATTACAATGCTCATCTCAGAAATATAAAAGCATACAAATATTAAACAGAAAAAGCTTGTTTAATTTGTTAAAAGTTGGCTAGAGATTATATTTATTTAGATTATTTTGACAGCAGTTGCTCTTGTAAACAGATCTTATTAAAACGCGACGTTTATTTCTATTATTAACTATAAACAGTTCTTGTATGCAAATAAAATATCGGAAATGTGGCTGTTAATGTATAGATATAGCCAAAATTTATATTAGCTACAAGCTTTCGACTCACATGAGTCATCATCACGGCTGTGAGTAAGAAGAAAAAAAAATGAAGTGTATTTTAAGCAGCGCATTCAACAGAAGCAACCATCCATTAATGAAAATAACTATAGTCTCAGATAACGTATTCTTGAATGAATATATTTTTAAAAAAAAACAAAAAAAACAAAAAAAAAACAAGAAACAAAAATAAACGAAAGGGGGGAAAAATCGAAAAAAAAGACGAAATAAGAAAAGAAAACGAAAAATAAATACAAAGACGAAATAAAAAAAAAATAAAAATAAAAATAAACAAAAGACGAAAAAGAAACGAAAACAAAAGCCAAAATACGAACAAAAATCTGAAAAACAAAAATCTGAAAAAAAAAAAAAATAAAAAAAAATAAACAAAAGACGAGGGAAAAAAAAACAAAAAAAAAAAAAACGAGCCAAGATAAATTTGGGCTATACATCAACAACAATCATATTTCCGAAATCTTATTCGCATAAAAGAAAAAAAAAAGATCAGTAGGTTTAATAGACATAAAATGTCTACTCTTTTTAATCATAACACACATGAGAAGTAATGGACTGTATCATTTAAACGTTATTTTTAGTGGATACTCATATTTTAGTAGACGCTCTGTTTATTTATTAAGCAGTATATTTATTTTTGCCTACCCGCCTGAATATTAAAGGAAATCATATTTAAGATATTATGCGCCTCGCCCAATAGGATTTGAACCTGCGTCTCCCAAGCAAGAGAAACCGTCGTTAGATCCGACGGTGAAAACTTTCGTGGCCGAGTTGGTCAAAAGCACATTGGATATAACGGCGGTAAAACATACCAAACTTCACTTGCGATGAAACGCCGTATGCATTCATTTACCGCCGAGTAAACCCATTTGAAAATGCCGATGGAGTCAACATAATGTCTGAACTTCAAGAAATAGCTATCTCTCTGAAAGGAGGCATTATGATTATTTACATTATTTGTACTGTTATCCTCATCTTCATTTCCATATTCAAAACGTTTCGGCCGTTGTACGCTCCGGCCTTTATCAGGTGAGTGGAATTTCGAACCGAACCGGGGTAGATTTAGTTCCACGTGTCACGCCTCTTCCTGATGTCTCAATTGTTTCGCTTTAACTCAACTCTCCAAGTTTTTGGTTCACCACTGCTGTAGCCTGGTATTGGACACACAACTGGGCCATATGTCCTTGAGGACACATGTGTATGAATTTCTGGGACTTACGAACCTAATGTCTTAGCAACCTTTTTTGCAAGTGCTCATATTGCAATTTTTTATTGTCATTCATTGCTTTTCTCTAGCACTCCGTATTATTGGTTCCCATATTGTATTCATTTCTATGCTTGGTCGGCTCAGGAGATTTTTGTGGCTCAGCATATGTGCTGATTCCTTAAGTTTTCGGATTTTCCAGTGATGCTCTCTATTATTTCTACCTTATCCCACAGGGGGCAGTGATCTCCCTTTTCCTCTTAATATAAAAATAGTTTTATGCCAAAACTTAACACCTACAACAGATCGTGTACAAAAAAGATATCTACAAGTTTACCCTGAAAGTAAAAAATATGTTAAAAATATCTGTAGCTGAAGGCATAAAATTGACTTCAAAATATTTAAATTTAGGCATTAAATAACGCATAGGTGTTGATATGCCGCTAAACAAAAACAACCAAACTAAATATCACTTCTCCTCCTAAGTTAAATAGTAGGATTTGTATCTGGAATAAAATTTCTTATAAAAAAAAAAAAAAAAAAAAAAAAAAATGTATAAAAATTGTATAAATAATTTTTAATGCAATATCCATTAGCAAAATATATATTATAAATAGGTAATCATACAATGGATCAATTAGTAATATTAATTTAATTAATGGCGAAATCTCTTCGCTAACAAACTTAATATAAGCATTAACTTACTAACAATCCATTGAATGACACGATCCCTATCTATATAAATTGTTGTCAGATGGATCTGGTGTATTTTTGAGCAGCAAGTACTTTCGAAAACTTCATGTTCCCATCATCAGGCTGTAATTTTTTCATTTAGAAATAAAACTCCAAGACGAAATAGATTGACCGAAAATTTTTTTTTTTTTTTTTTTTTTAAGAATGTGTTATTTATTAATGGTTATATAATATTGGAACGCGCAAGTCGCAACGCCAGAGTTCAAATATTTCAAGTGAATTTTTTGTATGAATTTTGTAATGTGGTAAGTATATAGTTCAATAAAGGGATATATCGTAGTAGTTTCCCGCAATTTCGTACTGCGGATGAGTGTTTTTCATAAAAAATATGCCGAATATAATACATTTATGACTATTAATTGAATAATTAATTTGAACTCTAGCGTTGCGACTTGCACGTCCCAATATTATATATAACCGTCAATAAATAACACATTCTTAAAGAAAACATCTTTCGGTCTACAATACATTTATTTCATCTTGGAGTTTTATTTCTAAATGAAAAAAAATTACAACCTGATGATGGGAACATGAAGTTTTCGAAAGTACTTGCTGCTTTAAAAATACACCAGACCCATCTGACAACAATTTTATACATAAGGATCCCATCATTCAAAGGATTCTTAGTAAGTCAATGCTTATATTAAGTCTATTAGCGAAGATATTTCGCCATTAATTACATTTAATATTACTAATTTTTTTCATTGTATGATTACCTCTTTATAATATAAAATATATGCTGCCCAATATATATAGTGCGATGGATAAATTGTTGCCTAAATTACGCAAAAATTGAAATAACAATGACATTTCATTTTAACAGATATATTTACCAAAATTACACAAAAATATCTTGAAATACTAAGAGTAAATTTATTCAATAAAATCCAATTGACTTCAACCACGGTCTCCAGACGACTTCGGGATCTCCTGCAACTCTTCTGAGCGGACTCCTTGTTTAAGTTTGTGAATGCTGTCATAATCCTTGTTGCCTTCAGTTTCATCATTAGACAATCCTTTGCACTGCCCTCAGAATGACACCCAAACATTCTGAAATGTTCGTATTGGTGCTTCCGGTGCGAATGCCAAGCAATAGAGCACGCCGTTTCCAAATTTCTGGCATAGTGCATTGCGTCATAGTGCTCTTTTTCTCACAGACTGTGACTATTATACCGTGCATTCGACAAAATCAAAAGCGAACAACGCACATGCTCAAAATTAAAAATATAAAATGGCTACAATTTACTCATCCCACGGTGTGTGGGTGTATATATATATATATATATATATATATATATATATATATAACGTCATCCACAGAGACTGTTTCGCAGCTCATCAGTGTGGCTAGACATCCGGTTGCCTGCGCACGGTAGGGATGAAAGTGGATTTTTAGCGTATTTATTTTTAGAAACACGCCCAGTGACCGACAGTGACTCAATTCGCATCTGCGAAGAGTCTCGCTATCTAGCGATAATAGTCACTGTTTACCAACCCATATATATAAGTACTGGTAATAAATCCGTTGGTATATAATCAAAGTGGATCCTAGTAATATAAAATATTAAAACTGATCCACAAAAAGAGCTCATTGTATTTATTATAACAGAGCAAATACACAAATTCCAAAATAACCTCATATGGGTGGGTACAAAACTATTTCAACCGACGAAAACTTCGTCAGTCTTATTCAACCCCGGAATATAGACAGAGTTTGTGTAGGAAATAGAAATTTAACTGCGACAACCGTTGAAAAATTTTGATTTTTAATTGTAATCTTTCGATGGCTGTCAGTTAAATATGTAATTCTGACACAAACTTAGTCTATACACCGGGGTTGAATAAGACTAATGAAGTTTTCGTTTGTTAAAATAGATCTATCCCCTATTTAGGAAATCTGGGATTTTGTTGTATATATATATATATATATATATATATATAAAAGAAATATAGTCTTAAGGTGTGCTATATTTATGGGATAAAGTGCTCAATATCAGAGATAGAGCGTGTGTAAATATAAAAGTGAACATAGAAGTTATATGCAATCGTCAGGCCTGACGATTGCATATATGC